ACTATCCATTACATTTCATTAAAAAATTTATAAACATTAGATTAAAAAAACTCAATAATTTCAATACTGAAACTCCAGAAACCAACTTGCCCAAAAAATCTAACTTCGTAGTTCTACCGTACATTAAACATAATAATATAACTATCAAAAAAATAGCTAATAGATTCAATCTAAATGTAATCTCCAAATGTTGCAATAAATCAAAAATGTTTAATAATTTAGGGAAGGATCCAATCCCAAAAATGTATAAATCCTGTGCAGTTTATAAGATCAATTGCCAAGATTGTGATATGTGTTATACAGGACAATCTAGTAGAACAGTATTAACTAGAGTGAAGGAACATATTTCGGATTGTATACATAATAGAGATAAATCAGCTCTTGTTATGCACATGAATGAAACAGGCCACAATTTCAATTTCGATCACAAAAATATTAAAATTTTAGACGTAGAACAATCATACTTTAAACGTTTAATTTCAGAAATGATCTTTATCACAAAATTTAATAGTGTAAATAGAATACAAGACACACAAAACCTAAAATCTGTGTTTAAGAATCATATCAGTAAATTATTTTAAACTCTCCTTTGTATTACCATACCATTGTAGACTAACCGGTTGATTGTCATTCTCCATAATAACATTGCAGCATAAGCCTGATACTGCTCTACTACAGTCCGAATGTTTTCAGTCACTCATTCACTCACAACAACGTCACAAATATGAAAATTACTTTTTAAGTCTGACTTTGTTAATTTTTAACAAAAACAATGTGATAATATTTGCGCGTCCAAAAAATGATTGGTAAGCATTAATATAATTGTGTAAAAAAAAAAAAATACTATACATCAAAAATGATCTGTAATAAAATTTATGTATATATGTTTAAATGTTGTAGAGACTTGAAAAGGGTTATCAAAAATGTAACCGAAACGTCGTCGACATAATAAAAACAATTTATTTGACAGTATAGCCCGCCTAGTCTAAATTATTTATTTTACAATTATTACTGTCAGTAGAATCAAACAATTTAATTTAGACTTATCGAGGATTCTTCAAAATTTTCATCGCTGTTTTAACAGAAAAAAATTTAGTAAGCCTAATGAATATGAAAATCGAAGAGCACTATACTCCGCTGATGGAAATGTTACAAAAAAATATAATTTTAACAGTGTTTACCGATTACTTTTCTTTGGCATCGTATCGTGTATCAAAGAAAGTCATGATAATATGAAAACATTGTTTGAATTAACGAAAATTAATGAGATACTGTTCAAATTCGCGTCTGACTTTAATCTTATGTTAATCGTCAATGGGCAGCAAACAGCATCGTCAACATATCTTTGTCCTTACTGTTTTATTACTCTGAATGAATTGCATAGTTTAGAACATTTTAAAATAAATTCTGATAATGAAAATATTATTTTAAAGTCGTGCAAGAATTTGAAAGATGATTATAATAATTTAAAATGCATTGAAAACAATAAAAAAATGGCTAAGGACTGCCACAGTACCATTAATCATTCTCTTTTTATGAAAGAAGGAGATAACGAAGATAATGATTTGTATGTAATTGAGAAATGCATTTTCCCGGAGCTGTATCTACTGCAAGGTTTCGTAAACCATCTTTTTTTGAATGGTTTTGTTCCAGATATTGACCACGTAAAAGCTCTACTTTCGCCCTATAAGATGAGCTTGGTTTCTAAAACCTATCAAAATGAAATTTTCAAAGGTAATTATTGTAAAAAGCTTCTGAAAGAAAAAGATAAATTGGATGATCCCGAAATCTACGAGAAAGTAGAGCCATTTTGCTTACAACCCCACGTGTAAAATTTTTATAAAGTTTCTATAAAATTTATATAGAAACGTTTTTATAAAATTTTTATAAAAAAATGATTCTATAAAATTTGTATAAAAACTTTATAGAATTGATAAACTTATATAGAGTATATATATGTAAATTTTATTTTATGAAATTACATATACACGAATGATACAGAATAGATAGAACAAGTGTAATGAATTAATCAGTGTTGTGATATAAATCATCATAAATTAATAAACCTAAGGTTGAAAAGAAAATTATATAATATAAGAAAAATTAGTGGAATTCATTCAAATACGCTTGGCATTCAAAATTTGACGATCCTTATCATCGATTAACTTCTGCCTCATAGAAGCCAGCACAAGTTGATCATTCATTGGGGCCCATTGACGCTTCTGTCCGTATTTTCGCACGTAAGCTAAAAGAAAAAAAATTGGAAAAAGTTATTTGTGAAAACATATATGTACGTATGAGTATTGATACAATATTTTTACGTACCAATAATCGCTTCCACAGCCGGCTTGTAAAGGCCTGGCCGAGTTTCATGAGCGGCTCCACGGCTATTGGCCTTCCTACCTTTGAGAGAACATGTACGCAGAGCTTCCTCCTTGAAGATGGCATCCATTAACGCTCGTGCCAGCAGGGTTTGGCGATAACACGATTCCTTAGCACTCTTGAATTCATAGGCATTGATGAAGATTTTCGTACCGGATGATAACTCAACGATCTATAAAAATTTTCGTACATTTACAAACTTGTCTCGAATATTTTTGTAGTTTATTTTACATGGTTTTCTGCATTTTCTTCGTAATTCTTCAAAGTCCAATATCCATCACCGATATTGATATCACCGATCTCAGTTTTTATTTTTTTTGCAGGGTGTTCAATTTCGTCCTCAAATAATTCGTTTCCTTTTTTTTCTTTTTTCACTTCTATCATCATGGTTGGCTCGATAGTTCGTTTCGTTTGGCTTTTATGAAGACTGTTTGGCTAGCATTAAATGAAATGATGAAAATTTAGTTTTTTATGCGATTATTTATTTATTATTATTTTACCTCGTGATTCTCTTCGTCTGAGTCGTCGCTAATGGTGATAGTCCTGTTACCTTTTTTTTTGAGGTTTTACACGTAAGATCGGCGAAGACTCAGGAGATTGTGGTGTGTCCAAATAAGCCTTGTCCTACAATTATTTACAATGTTACTGAATAAAGTTTTATTGGTTTTAAAAATTAATTATGCCTACCACTGCATCTTCTTCCTTGAAAAGCTCTTTTTCGTTATCAGATAATATTTGATCGTCGTCATTGTCAGACTCCATGTCAGTTGGCAAACCCAGTTTTGGCTCAAGTTCAGCAATGACACAAGATCTTCGCTTAGTGGATGAACTATTCTGCTGAGATGTTGATGGCTCCATACAAAAGTCTTCATTACCATTTGGAAAGCAGTCACCAATATCGTCGCATGCTCTTTCTTGATCGCTTTCTTCGTCGGGAATGGTGTAAGAGCGCCTATTTTTCTGAATATCAGAAGTGGCAACACTTTCAACGTTTTCGGATTCAGTTGACGGTTTCTCAACCAAATCAGCGACGGAGGTACCTGCTCGCGTATCATAACTTCTGATAATTTCAGATAGGTACGCCAATTTCTAAAATAAAATGATTGTTGAACATTTTTTTTTGGTTGATATTATTGGCAAAAAATATAAATAATTTATCATACCCTCTGAAGAAGTCCAATATTTTCGTTTAAAGTTACGTACAAGGCAGTGCAAGCATCAATGTAAGTAGACATGGTTCGGAAATCGGCTAATAACCAGTGCAGTCCTTCTGGTAACTGTAGTTTGACTGTTTCTTCAGAGCTTGCATTTACTTCACCGCTATTTATTTTTCTATCAGCCGAATTTTTGCCTACATTTATTTGGAATTCCATCTCCATCATGATACTTTTAGTCGTCAAGCTATCAATTCTATTTGTTAGACGATTCTCAATAGCCTAATAATGAAAAATATTTCATTAGCATACGAAATTTAAAAAAAAAAACAAAAAATGTATAGCTTTAAAAAGAGTACCTTTTTCTTTGTTTTCTTTTCAGCGGTTTTCTTTTTCAGTTCCTTACTTTTTGCAAGTTTCTCTTTCTTGAGCTTTTTCATTTCGTCAAAAAGATATTCTTCATCATCTTTATGCAAATAATGTATTTGAAATTCATTTTACTTATTAAAACCATACTTATATACAAATGAAATTAACAATTAGTAATAATGTTACGTTTACTGCCAATCAAAAGTATAGAAGGTTATGAAATATTCGCAGGTTGAATAGAAGTATAATTTTTAGTTGACTTTACACAAGTTTAAGTTAAGAATGTACATCGATCACCTCAAGCTCGATACATTGCGAAAATTTTATCTAGGCACTGCAGTCGATTTTTAATCGTTTGAATACGAAGTAAAAAAAAAGTACGTAGTCAAGTTCATAAAACACATCTATTAATTTGTACCTGATATTTTGACGATGGTCCCGGTATACTTTTGAGCTTTTCGAGAATCTTCTGGCCACAAATAAGAAATGGTAGTTCCTTCGCTGAGCTTGCTGGTTTTTTTATCTTTGAGGATCGATCGTTCGTAGATCAAACATACCGTAGATCCGCAGTCCAAAAGATACTGCATTTTTGACATTTTCGCACCGACTTGATATACGTATCCGCTCGAAGAGGTAACAAATTATTCTGCGTAGAAGCTCGAACTTGGTCAGCTTGCCGCTGTCAACTGCAGTAACCTATCTTTTCAGCATACTTTTTTTTTTTTTTTTGATGCCATGAATGTTGTACATTAAGAGTGGCTTTTTTTTGCTGAATCGTTGAGTGACATTCTAAATTTGAAATGGTTAAAGTTGCAAAAAATGATATCGGAAGATAAAAATGCTGAGGTATCGTGCATATAGGCGTGAAAATAATCAGGTAAATAAAACACCGAATTTTGTTCATATAAGTCTATAATTATAATTTTCATTTTTCTACGTACCTGTATACAACTGCGTATTAAATATCGTATGTTCAATTAGCCTTTCTTTTACACTTTAACTTTTGTAAATTACTTGCTTCGTGTACTCTTGAGTCGAGTACGCAAATTCAAATTTTTTTATTGTACTATTTCTTTACAATTCTTTTTATTCTAGATTGGTGAAATTCCACCATCAACACTACGGCGCTGGAATCGACTGCAACAATTATTGCCGATTCAACCAGAAGCAGACATTGAGGCGGATGATCAAATTCGAGATGAAATAAGATACATGGATTATGATGAGGTATTTCATTGATTTCAAACTCTTGATTCTATAAAATCATATATGATAGAAATACAATATGTAATTAAAATGGCTTTTTCACAGTCGGTAGAGCATAAATTATTTAAGTTCCCGAATCACGCAACGAGAAGGAAGGATCACTGAAATAAAAAACATAGTTTTTCTTTTGGCCATCATGCATTATTATAAATAGTTGAAGCTTCATAAACTAAAATATACAGATTCGTGATCACGACTACATTCACACATTCCCTTTTAAAATTGCGAGTAAATTCAATTCTTTTCCTTTTAACGTGGAATACTGATTGCGAGTTAATGATAGATTTACTTTTCTTTTGTCCGTTGGAATAATCAATATTAAGTAATTGAGCTCAATTCAATAAATGCTTACGTTTACGTTAACAAAGTCTGTTGGTTACTCATAATACCGTTGCTATTTCTTGTACCGCCAACAAATTCGACGACGCGGCGAACATTGAGAACTCCACTTGCACGACGAATTCAAATGCCATGACGAAATAGGACACTCAATCTTCTGATGCTTGTCATTGATGATTTGCTCCGAGATGATGAATTTTCAGCCTCGTTGCATCATGGAGATGACAGTTTCGGAGTTGACCTTGCCACGGATTTTGTCTCGGCGGCAGTAGCGAGTGTAACGAGATGTAGTTGCGTTGGCGGCACGGCAGACCGAACAAGAAGGCAAGCCATGGTGTTCGTTAGTTTTATTTAACCTGCGTTCATGTGCAGTAATCAGCAACGAATCCACATACGCACACACGCAAATACGAAAAGGCGCGAGGTTCAAATCGACTCGTTACATTCCTCCCTTGGACTTATGAGGGTTGAGAATAAGTCCATATAGGCTCGGGTAGACTGACATTCATGATCTGCTTTACTCAGTATTAAGCGTCGTCTTTCACAAAACCTCAATTCCACGATTCACTCATTTCAAATTAAACATAAATTTAAATCATTAATTCCACAATTCGCACATTTACAATTACACATAAATTTAAATCATCAATTCCACGACTCGCACCACTTTCATTTCTTAAATTAAAGTCATTTTCCATGTACGATTTTTTTAGATTTTCTATGTACATCTTTACAAGTAGTTCATTTATATAAATAAATATTCGTGGTTTTCGGGTTAACACATCGTCAAAGCTATTATCTTATCTTAAATTTACTCATTCATTCCTCTCACTCATTCCATACCTCAAATCTATCTCTACATCCTTTTACATCTTGAATAATCACTAAGATTCTATTTACATATTTGAAAATTATCTTTCATCATCATTTGGATCTAAAAAGGTTACGAATCGGATCTATTTTTATACTTTCTCAAGTTAGTGCGATTGTAAGTACCAATAATCGCACTGGAATCATCAGACTCAGTTATTTCAAATGCATTCTCACCGATTATTTTAGAAATACGATACGGTCCTTCGAATATATCGAAGAACTTCTGCGTGACTTTGTCTAACGCTTTTGATAAATGTCTTACACGTAGCATCACTAAATCACCTATATTGAGTTTTACTTTAGATATTATTTTTTGTTTTTTACAGCGTTTCTTGAAACTTTTTTGAATATTCTCTCGAGCAAGAGTTATAATTATTTCATGATCAATTCTCGGTTGCATTGGAAACCTAACCAACTTTTGTATTTCATCTTGTATCGATTTACCAAAATGTAATTCATTTGGAGCGAAACCTGTTGTGAAGTGAGTAGTTACATTTAGAAGGTTTTCAATAGTATTTATGTGATTCACCCAAGTGGTATGCTTCGTCTTACACAAGGTCCTAAACATTCTACCCAATTCACGCATAACCCTTTCGGTGGGGTTAGATTGTGGATGCCTTACACTACTAAACAAGACTTTGACACCTATGTTTTCAAGCGAATCTCTCCATTTATGTGAGGTGAACTGAGTACCATTGTCGCTTAATATTCTCTCGAACTTTCCGCATTCTGGAATGTATTTATTCAAGATTTTATCGAGTGAACTTATTGTGGTAGCTTTTCTCAATGGGTATAAACGTACTAATTTTGAAAACACGTTTAAGACGACAAATACATACTCCATTCCTCCCCTGGCGCGAGGGACGGGTCCATAATAATCGACTGTGACCAAATCTGAAGGTGAATTTGATGTAACCTGATTATATGGTCCCTCCATCGCGACTGACAAATACTTAACCCTCTGGCACAAATCACATGTTAATACAAACTTTTTTATTTGCTTATGCATGAATTTCCAGTAATAAAATCGTTTGATATAAGTTAAAGTTTTGAAAACACCCGGATGGGCTAATTTGTTATGAACATAATTTATTATTTTATTTGTTAATATAATTGGAATAACAATACGATAATAATTACTTTTATTTTCGCGGTGAAATAAGATTTGTTGATATATTTCAAAGTTTTCTGTTTGTTTTTTGCTATTGTTGGCAAGAAATTTATTCATGATTGATGTACAATAAATGTCCTGTGATTGTAATTGATTCAAATTTTTTAACATATGCTTTAAAGACGGTTTTTCCTCATTTATTGCCATAATTACCAAAGGAGAAACTTTATCAATTTGAGAAGGAAAAATAAATGTATTGAGTAAACCAATCATCAATTTTTTTTCCGTTTCTCTATGAAATCTTCCCATAGGATTACGACTGAAAAAATCAGGAACTACATTGTCCGAACCTTTACAATAAGATATATCATAACAATATTGTTGCAATAACAGGCACCATCTAATTAAGCGCGAATTATGGTAGATAGTGTTCTGTAAAAATGTCAGACCTTTATGATCAGTTATTATTTCAAACTTGACACCTATCAAATAATACCGAAACTTTGTAATACAATATGTAATAGCTAGTAATTCTATTTCGGTAGTAGTATATCGAGTTTCTTCAGGTGTTAAGCATCTACTCGCTACCGAAATTATACATTGATTTTTTTCTTGGTCAATTTGATATAATGTGCCGCCTATACCAATCAAACTACCATCACACTGCAACTTAAATAATAGATTATTAGGTATGATGTGACTCAAGCAAACTGCACGAGCGAAATTTTGTTTTAAGGCCTCAAAATTTCTCTCATGCTCATCTGTCCAATGCCAAACCGCATCCCCAGTCAATAAATCTCGAAATGGCGAAATGTAATCACTATATCGCATGACAAACCTGCGGTAGTAATTACATACACCTAGAAATTGTTGCAAATGTGTTTGATTTTTTGCATGTTCAAACTTAATTATTTCATCAATCCTCTTCGAATCTGGCTCTATGCCTTCACTCGATAAAACATAGCCAAGAAATAAGATCTTCTTTTTGAAAAATTCTGATTTTGAAATTTTTATTGTGAAATTACTTTGTAATAGTTTTTGAAAAATTATTTGCAACAACTGAATATGACGTTCAAAAGTCTTAGACGCAATAGCAGTATCATCTACATAGGTTATCAAATTTTTCTCTATATTAGAAAGTTGTAGAGGTATTTCCTTTTCTATTTTTCCTTCATTATTTTCTTCAACTAAAAATTTAAAATTAATTGGAAGAGAGGTTTGAAGTGAAATGGCGAAAGCTCTAATGAGCGCGCTGCCAGCTGTTTTGATGCCAAAAGGCACACGAATCCATTGATATGGTTTTGAGTCAAATTTAAATGCAGTTAAAGGTCTTGACTCTTTGTGTAATTTTACCTGCCAGTAACTATTTCGTAAATCTACTTTTGAAAAATGTTTACATTCATAAAACTTTTGCATTATTTCTGCTATAATAGGGGGGGATTCCAAATCATCTTCGATGTTATCATTTATTTGTCTTGCATCTAAACAAACCCTCAATGAATCATCCTCCTTAACCACTATACGTAAAGGATTACAGTAAGGACTAATTGAAGGTTCTGTTATACCTGCTTCTAACATTTCATTAATGACCCTACGTACAGGTTCCTGTAAGGCTGATGGTACGGGATATGATCGATTAATTTTTGGATTATTATTTTTCAATACCAATTTATGCTCATAACCCAGTGCACATCCTGTTTTATTTTCAAACAATTTTTTGTAATTAATTAAAAGATCATGAAAAATTTGTTTCTCCCCGTCATTCAGATTTTCAGTTGAAAACGCAATTGAGTAAAGTTGATCATCAAGACTTTTTTCATTTTCTTTTTCTTTATGCATTACTCTTGTCTTCATGTTATTCATATATATGCGATTAATATTTACACAATTATTATAAGTATCTAATAAATCAATATCTAGATCCATAAGATCATCGTAAACATCAGACAAATTGTCAATATATTCTATATTATTTTTCCTAATAATATTTACCGTTGGATTTTGATTAATTTCACAATCGTTCATATTTATACCATTATTTTTATTTCTCTCAACGGTTTTTAATTCCTGATAATCATTCAGTTCATTATTTTGTGTTTCGTATATATTATCAATTTCAATATTTTCAATTTTGATTATATGAATACAAGTTACTTTTTCTTTATTTCTTATTATTAATCTTTCTAAATCTCCTCTCTCAAACAAAACCGAATGAGCAGGAATCACTTCATCCTTCAATCTCAATTGAGTCATCCAATAATCTATGATCATACCAAATTTCAAGTTGAAATCATTTCCCAGAATTATATCTGTCGACAAAAAAGGCACTACTAAGAAATAAAACGACAATATTTTTGTATTAATTTTTAAATCTAATGCTACTTGTCTTTTAACTGTTGTAGATTTTTTTCCAATAGCTGTTGATACTATTATGTTTGCAACTGGTAATTCTAATATGCGTATTGTATTTTTTATTTTGTTATAAAAGTTTTCTGATATTGCTGTTATTTGGCTACCACTATCTACAAGACACCACACCTTATATTTGTCAACTTCAAGTAAAACTCTGGGGGATGAAGGTATTTTATTTGTCCCTGACTGTGTGTGGCTCTCACTATTTATTATGTCATGAGATAAA